GGGTGAGAGCAGCAACCCCTCCGTGAGCAAAGCCGCTCAGGTTTTGCATCCGTTTTTAGCTTTGTAGGAGCTACCAAACTCTTCCCCCAGACAGGCTCACGGCTATGCGGCACCACGGAGAGCTCCTAGGCAGCAGAAAAGAAGAACTGCCGTGGATGAGGAACCCCACTGGGATAGGCAGCATTGGCCTCTCCTGGGTGGAGCACCTGCTTCGGATGTGGACGGCCTCCAGCTGGATCCCACCATCTCTAGGGAGAGCTGGCAAACCTTCTGCCCCGAATGCCGGGGGAGCTGCGCTCATCAATGCTCACAGTTCTGGGCCAGATGGACCAGGGATCTGGCTCGAAAGCTCGCAACATCCCACCCGCTCTCCTGGGACTGCAAGGCGTGATCAAAGTCCATTAGGGCTAACTGGTTGCATTTATCTTATTTGTCAGATAGCCACCCGGTCAAATAGCTGAAGATTCTGGTCTTAACTCTTTGCCATAAACTCTTTTCTGACACCGCATCCTGTTATATATAGCATTAATAATCATCGTGGTATACCGTCCGTTTTCAGAGCTTGCGTCCTGTGAGGCCGGGATGTTTTATTTATGCATCATTGGAACAACATTGATTAAAATTTCTTTTGCTCAGGTCAGGCACCAAAAAGGAATGAGCATGTCTGGCTGCTAATTACTTTCTCTGAGGAAGTGCCTCGAAGTCATATTTTAAGGGCCTAATCCGTGGCTGTTTTGCTTAGCTCAGCAGTGGCCCATCGCAACCCCCTGTGGACTGGAGATGGGTGTCGGAGAGGTAGAAACAGTACACAGATTGTTTTAATCTCCCCCTTAAAGGTAATTGCTTTCTGATTCTTCCACACCCCTTCCTGGGTTTGTTCCAGGAGATGGATTTCCCAGTAAAATTGCTTCCCATGTTTCAAGTCAGTGGAGACAGGATGGGGCCTCCTGTTTCATTCCAGCTATGCATTAATAGACCTTCAAATGAGATTTCACAGCCTCAAATCAGATTATTTCTAGGGCTTCAGTTACCTCTGAGAACAGGGATGGAAAGATGCAGACAAGAAGCCGTCTGGCAGCAAACAGGAGCATTGCAAAACCAAGCCAAATGCTTGGGCAGGACAAAGATAATTTTGTGGTTGAGGGGGCTGAAGAAGGAACTGGGTGGGGGGGAGAGAAAGGAGTTATGGGATAACCTAAAATGCAGATGGGTACTGTGCACCCTTGGGACCACAGGATCAAACAAATAGGAAAGGCACCGGGATGGCTGATAAGCACTTGTGCAAATAGACTGAGAACAGGCGTCATAATGACATAATTCCATATTGAGTACTGAACAGATTTAATTACCCAGATCGGGGAGCATGTGATATCCCTGAACTTGGAGACCTCTGCGAGGGGCAGGGGAGAGTCAATGTCACCTGATTTTTATTTATTTTTAATTTTTTTTTGCTTTTGCTCTTGCTCGGGGATTAACCCGTTGGTTTGGCTTTGGGACCACTGCGGAATGATATTACTGAGGGGTGAAGTCTGACTGTACTTATCAAAATATTGGCATCCAACAGCCAGGGATGGCCAGTTGAGCCTCATGGTGTGAATTTGTGTGGATAATGTTGGGTCCACCATGAGAAGAGAAGAGCATCCAATCTGTAACATGAAACTACAACTGTTTTATTTATGAAAACAAAGGCAAATTCATCTTGAGGGATGATTTTCAAGATGAGATTTCAGTTCTGATGACTGGAATAGAACGGCTGTCAGCAAAGATTACATCAGGATGAGAAGCTTGACCATGACTATAATTAGATATCAACTGAAGTCATTATACAGTGAATTGAATAAAGGGCTAATTGTATGATTTACTGACCAAATAAACTGTGTAAATGTATTTCAGTATCAAAGCACTGTAATAACAATGGATGTTTAAACTGGGACTCTCCCCCTACCTTCTTGGAATAGGATTAAACAAGTGAGATTAAACAGCAGAATAAACAATTGAGTCTCAATTCTGTCATGCATTACAGTAACTTAAAAAGAAATGCCTGAAAATTCAGAGTTTTACTTATATTACTTTTATATTGCTTCATATCCTAAGATCTCTGAGTGGTTCACAAGGCACACCATATAATACGGTATAAATCTGATATAAAAACAGCAAAAGAAGAATGAAAGCAAGAAAGTCCATCATAATGTGGAGCGTTGTTTTCCAAGCACAGCTAGTGAAAAAAGGCCGGTATAAATAAACAGGGCTTTGAATAGGTGATTTGCACTCAACAGGTTTTCTGCTCCAGAAAGTAGGTGCCACCACCAAAAAGCCCCAGTTGCATGTTCTCGCTGGCCCACGCTCCGCGGAGCCAATGTGCCCCTGAGCAGAGTTCCCGGGTGGCCGTGCCCCTTTCCCCCCGTCATGGCGGCTTCCCAACCTCCGTAAAGCCCTTTCCCCATCCGAAGACTCAGTTATGGCAGCAGGAGCTGTAAGGTGCGATACGCTGATGCTTCGTGGCATTTTCACCCCTTCCCCATCACTACTGGAACGATCTGCTTCCCAGGGGTTCTTTGTGAAGGAATCCAGCCCTTCGGCTGAACGAGGGCTGCTTCTCTAGAACCCGTGGCCTCCCACCCGCTGTTGGAGCACGACCCTCATCACCCTTATCCAGGGGCCGTGCTGGCTGAGGCTGATGGGAGTTGGACACCCCCACACCTAGTGGACCATAGGTTCCCCACCAACGCTGTAGACCAGACATAGGCAATCTGGTTCTTTCCAGATGGTTTGGATTGTAATACTCACAATCACAGCCAGCTGTCAATGGCCGGGCAAAATGCAAGCTGGATTCCAAAGCACCTGGAGCGGACCAGATTCCCCTGCCCGGCTCTAGACCAGCTTCCCCCAGACTGGTGCCTTCCAAATATGTTTTGGACTGCAGTTTGCATCTTCCCCGTACATTGATTGAGCTGGCTAATGGGAGTTGAAGTTCAGAATACCTGCAGGGGACCAGACTGGGAAACGAATATGATCAGAGCAGATGGAAGTTGGAATCCCAAAGGTATCGGCGGCACCAGGGTGGAGAAGCATGCTTCAGGTCACGCTCCGTGGCAGTTCAGCTCTCTCGTCTGATTGTGTCCCTCTGCCACGCTCCTTGACTGGCGGCACAAGCTCGCTCCGTTTCCCCTGCCCGCCTTCCACTGTGATTCACGCCTGTTTCACTGGCAGGCCGCGAACGCAGGAAGCAATCTCGTCCCGTCTGCCAGCGGCCGAGCCCTGCTTGTTCCTCCTGTCACAAACGGGCTCCTCGCTCATTTGCTCTGCTATATTTAGTCTGCGCAAGGAGGTCTCCATCTGGTTTTAAGGGCGCCCAGGGAACCATTGAGCTAGGGAAAGCTTGCATTGCGCTCAGTTCATCTTCATACCACTGAGCCCTCTATTATTTTATGAGGCCTCAGGAGAAGGATAAAGCTGGTGCATTCCGACAATTGCCCATAAATCACATCTGGGGAAGAAGCCTGGGATCTCCAATAAGCACCATCCCTCTTTTTCTGGTTACATGACGGAGAAGAACTGATATGGTCCAGGTCAGAGGTGTGGCAACAGAGCTACACATTCCAAGGAACAGGTGCATGGAGCCTAGATAGCAGCAGAGAAACAAAGTGACTCAGAAGGGGCCTCCTGGGTCATCCAGTCTGACCCCCGGCTCCACTCATGACATGCCCACCATGTGCATGTCCAGCCTGTCCTTGAACACCCTCACCAAGGGGCTTCAACCACCTCCCGTGGAAGCCCGTTCCACACCCTCGGGGCCCTAGCAATGAGGAAGGACTTCCTGGCATCACCCTAAATCTTGGCTCCCTGAGCTTTGCTGTGAAAGATGTGAAAGGAGGAGGGATTTGCGGGTGCTAAATGCCACCCACCTACATTCATTCAGCCTGGTTGAGGATGCCGGCTGGCTCCTATCAAGTTCTAAACTGAGGTGCATCACTAGGCGCTGTACGTAGCTGCTCTGCCCCTCCATGGCAGCACCCCAAGGGTGCATCCCCCCATTCTCATCCCCTGCAATCCTACTATGAGAGCATCAGCTGGAACGGAAGGATCTAAAAGGCACCGTCTTCCAATGACCTGCCTACAGATAGTTCATTCCTTGTCCTTGCCAACAGGAAGGGAAGCGAGATCACCAGAGAGATTGTAGAAACCATTCTACCTCCTCAGAGGGATTAACCGCCATTGATTCTTAGCCCTACTGCATACCCTGTCCTCGGCCAGGTTCTACCAGGGGAAACGCATCTGGGTCTGGTCATCTGGAAATGGTCGGGTAAACTTCTCCTCTGCCCGTCTTGACCTGCGGCAGCTAATGCGGAGCAGAGGAAACATGTTTACAGATGTTAGAAAGAAGATCTTGCATCCAGACTTGGCTATCCTTACAGCAGACCCATTAAAAACAATGGGAGTTGAGTCACGACTAACTAACAATGGGACTACTCTAAATCTGATTCCTTCTGTATCTGGCCTGTTGTGGGTGCTTTGAACTGTTGCCTACTTACATCCTGGAAGATCTTTTCAGAAAGTTTTGCTTGGTTCCATGTGCGTACCAATGCATAATACAGCTTGGGTTCCTTACAGGAGGGACGATACAGGATACAAACACAACGACCACCACAATATTCTAAACATCCGTAAAACTGAACTCTGCATTACCTCACAAGTACAAAGCTGATGATGTCACAACCAGACATTTGTGATGGAATGAACATCAGGGAGATACAATTCAAGCCCATGGTCCGTTGGGTAATTTCACTCGCTACTTTCAGCTAAATTCTCCTTAGCCCAACATCTGCTAATCTATGTAGAGACTAGAACAGAGCATGATTTCTCGTCTGAACTTCAGCAAGCTGCAAATATGGTCAGTTCTGAGGTTGGGCTTCATTCTGACGTGGCAGTGTCTGGAGAGCGTAGACGGAGAACTCAAGTAATTGCAAAGAAACAAGATGTCTAAAGAAATATTTGTCAACATGGACAATGAATATCCTGAGGTGAGCACAGCACCGAGTGGCTGAAACCTCATCGGTCCCTGGAATGTATTCCCACTCCAAGATTCAGTCTGAATTTAAAAGAGCCACCCCTGGTGCTGAAGCTACTTTGAGGGTGGGATTCAGCACCCAGGATAGCTCCTCAAGAGTTTTGACTAAACTCCAGCGTGGATACACTGTTATGGGAGACCCTGGCCTCCAATCCAAGACAGAGAAATCGAGTGCAAACTTAGAGCTAAGGTCTCCATGTGGTTGCTGGATGGTGAATCTGGGAGTACAGTTTTGCAGAATATTCTCTGGTGTGGGAACAGAAATTCTGCAACACTTTTGGTGAGGACAGAGATGCTATTAGCAGCAGCAGCTTTGTTGGCCAACTGGCTGCCATTCTGGAATTCCTGACAATCAACAGAGGAGGTTTGGAGAATTTCTCCAGGGTGGCCCTCCTTGGCACAGGTGCAGAAGCTCAGACGGAGAGGCTAAATTTGGCCAACTGGCTTCCCAGTACAGCCCATGACGGCCTTGTCTCTGCCCCTTTCTGTTTCCTCTAACCACCAACATTGTGTGTGTGTGTGTGATGGGGGGGGGCGATTGGTGGTTCCCAAGCTTTTCCCTATTGTAAGAGGCTGAAATCACCTTCTCTCCCACCACACCCCAGCCTTCTTTTCCACCTGTCGGAACATGCATAGGATTGTACCTTAACTGCCAAGAATTCTCCTCCCATCATCCCACGCTAACGACTTCCTCAAAGCCTCTGTAAGTTTGCAAGGAATGCTCTTTACTCCCTTCCATGTGCCAGGAGTAACACAAAAGCTGCAATTCTCCCAGGAAGACACGTGAGTTTGGTTTAGGCAGTTTCTTCCAGAGTCCGTACTGTACCAAATCAATCCATGAAACTCTTTTTCTCTTTATGTTGGCTCTTGGATCCTGTGGCTTCAGAAAAAACCAGAGAAGAGTTGGTCCCGCAAGCTAAATTCACTCAGTTTTTTTTCCTGGGGAAACAAAAAGGTAGGTCCAAGTAGAAGTACAGCTTAGCAATGCAGTGTGAACTAGCCTGTGTCTGGATACATCTTGGAAGCATGTGAAAGAATCAATATGGCATATGTGTGTGAGTGTGCGTGTGTGTATTTCTGCACACATGTGTGCCATGCTGGTTCCAGGTTTTGGACACCCCCTGGGTAAGACACCCTTGGCGAAGCAAGCCTTGCATTTCTGGGCTTTGGAGCCTCTTTCACAGGGGGCGTTAGCAATGGCGCTTGGAGTACTTTATGTCTCTGTTTTCAGACATACATCCATCCATCTAAAATTTTTATATGCCACCCCAATACGAAAAGTCTTTGGATGGCTTACGAAAAACAGAAAACAAAACCCAAGGCAATCGCAACGACGACAACGGACGTCCTCTGCTTGTGGCAAGTTCATGAGGATGGAAGTGGTCCTTCAGGTCGCTTGTGCCCGAGCCAATTTGGCCTTCAGAAGCCGAGCCAGAATCACCCCAGAACTGTCGCTTGCAGTGGATGCCGCTGAGAGGCGAGAGCAGCTCCGCCTGGCGCCCCAGCACCGCTCATCCGTCCCTGAGCAATTCCTTTTGTGCCACTGCTGCCCAGTCCCGGCAGCCACACGGCCGTTAGTCACAGCCTGTTGCCTCCTCTGATTATTTCCCCTTTGATTCCCATCTCCGGGTGATTACAGCTGTTGCCTTGGAATTGGAGAAAGAAGCTCTGCATTTAACCTTTCGTTTTCTCCTCGCAGCCATCAATAGCCCCGCTGGGGATTGCTTCTAGGCTGGGCGTTGCTTCTAGCGCAACCCGGAAAGGGGCTGGGCTGGCTAGAGAGCAGGGCCCCGGTGGACTACGGGGGTGTTGTTGTTGTTGGTTGTTGGGTGGTGTGCCTGTCCATGGGAGGAAGGGGAGAGGCGAGCCTTCCAGCCATCTGGCCTCCCGTGCAGAACCTCCCGTCTTTGCTCTTCCGTCATGCTGATTCTCGCTTTGGCATGCAGAAGTCATGCGCCCTTTATATGTGGATTTCCAGCCATGCCTGCTGGCTTGACACCTCTCTAGTCTCGCTCAGGGATAGGTCATTTAGCGAAGGGGCAGGCAGCACAATTCCCAAAGACACCAGGGCATCGTTCCAGCCCTGACACCTCCCTCGGCACCTTCCAAGCTGTCCTACCCTTCTCACATTGTAGTTGTTGTTGTTGTTGATGATGATGATGTTGTGTTAACAGAAGGGGGATGCTGCAAAACAGGTTTCTGTTGGCGCTGAAAACTCTAGGTTTCAAGGAGTAGTTTCATGGGCTCACCCATCTCTGCCTTGTTCTTGGTCATTGGCGCAAGATCCTTTTCCTTTGCCAGGCACTGCATGACAACCATTCCGTGCCGGTATCGTTTCCCTAATTGTTGAATGTGTCCATGGCCCAGAAAGCTTCCTCCAGAAGCTTCTCACTGGCTCAGGGGGACTGGACACATTCTCACGTGTCAGCCGGACGAGGCTGCCCTCTCCAATTCAAGTGGGGCTCCTCACCCGTTGCAGCTTTTCTTTTCAGCTTCCTAGGAGCAATCCGTGATGCTCCATGGGGCTCAACTCCATCTCTGAAGAGGTTCCCCAGCAGTCAGCACCTTGGACAGTTCCTCGGGAGGTGGCCCTCTGCCCACCTGTCCCCATCAAGGCCAATTGAAAGGCTTCTGCTGGCACCTGAGAACCTGCCCCTGCATTACGGGAGCAACAGACATGATGCCATATCCTTTTCTACCACGATTTCTAAAGGGATATGAGCAGAGCCTCCAAGCACTCATCTGCTCCAGATGCTGTAGATCCAGAGTTCTCGCTTGGGTGGCAGGTTGGACTAGATGGCCTCCAGTGGCCCGTCCAGTTTTAGGCTTCTGCCCCTCCACCCATCCTTCCATTCAAGCATCCATCCCAGAGACATATGTGTTGAGGTTGGCCCTTTAAATGCCTCGGTTGCACCAAGAGAAGTTCTGCTTATGCGTTGACAGCTGCACTCGCGGTGTTAAAAACAGTTGTTTGCAAGAAGGAGCAAAAGCGTTAAATTAAGATTTCTAGATCTCACAGTTTAAAAGCTGGCTTTCTCACTTCCTGGCAAATGCCTCACAAGGCTGTGTCTGTCTGTCTGAAGACAACGAAACAGACGAAAGATGCTTCCAGATAGCTGGAAGTGCCCAATCCTGCCCGATCCTGGAAGGTAAGTAGGGTCAGGCCTGGTTAGAAGTGGGACGGGAGGCCTGAGTCTTGCATGGAGCAGGTGGCTGGACCCAGTGGCTTTCCAGGCCTCTTCCAATGGTGCGGTCCTGTGATTCTGCGGCAGAAGGTGGAACGCGAAGGTGGCTGGTGGGATGTTTTTATTAGATGAATGTACATTTTCGCTGGGTGACGCACACTCCCTCTGGACACCACAAGTGTTACTCCAGCTGGACCAAAGCATAGAAGTCAGGGAGACAAGACAGGCTGGGCTTGGGAAATGCAGGTGGGCAGTTCATGTGCCAAGGTAGCTTTACCCAAATAAATGTGGGCCACTGAACGGCTGCAGTGGCTCTTAAGCGTGGCACTGCTTCTCTTGGCCATTGCTTGGTGTGCAAGCAGGAATTAGAAGGGCAATTAGGTGTTCACACACTGTTTGCCACTGTGATGTCAAAGAGCGCTCTGCCGGTTGCCTCTCCCCTTCCCCAGGGCAGAGCTTTTTTGGGTTGGGGAACTGATGCGGGAGAGAGGCCCGCGAGTTGAATTGGCCTTCCCAAATGCTCATATCAAGCCTTGATAAATCCCCATAAGACATTTCAGACATTCCGTCTGAACACTTGAAAAGCACCATTTCTTTTCCTAGGAGCAGTAAGATGTTCACACATTCCTCATATTTTATGATGGGTGATTGGCGAGTGCTTCATTTTCTATAAGCTGATTTCTGTCTGTGCTCCAGTTGAAAGGAGACACGTAGATAAGTCCTTCAGCAAATTACAAATCCACTCTCACCGATGAATCAACAGCAGGACACCTCCGTCTAACAATAGTCTTGAATTCACGTTGTAGTAACTTGGGACACCTGGATGATGATGATGAGTTCCATACTGTCCATAGTCAAGGCTCTCTGGGTGGTTTACGACAATAATCACAGGATTGTGCACAAAAGTCGCCCATCCAGGTTCTAGACTACCCTGACCATGCTTAGCTGGAGCTCAACAGTAACACAATATTAGTGCCATAACAACAATATGGTCCCATGCAAAAACTTAACCATGAAGAAATCGGATGCAGAAATCCTGCTGAAGCCAAGCAGGGGGTCCTTACCTGCAGCCAGCACCTGGGACCAGCACCTGGGGTTCAGGAAGCAGTGGGGCCCCACTGCCCCTCTCTGGGCCCTCCGGACTGCCTCCTCCTCATTGTTGCTTTCTTGGCACCGACATGTTCATGCAAACTTTTTCAAATTGAGAAAAAATCTCAAGGTTCAAGACCAAACTTGAGAGTGGAAAAATGAGGAATGGAGGGAAACCAAACTGGGCAGATCTGTCGGCAGCCTTCTTCACGCAGCCGCCTCAAAGGATTTGTGCAGCAGCATGGTAAATGCAACATGGCCGCTCTCTTAAATTCTGCTCAACCACACCTGTTCAGCCTTTGTTCAAGGTTGGTCCACCGAGTGGCGTTTGCAGAAAACCTCAGGTGCAAAGCCGCTTGAATGCCCCTTGGCTCTCTCCTCTGCCACGTCACCTGCTGGCCTGTTCACCTTGATGCTGCACTCTAAACCTCTCCAGTTGGCTGCTCCTGACGTCTTGTGAGAACTTGTGCACCGCCTTCCAACCTGCACATTCCAGAATGCAGGCCTGGCATCTCCAGATCCCTTAATCCAAATGGGGTGAGGAGCCTGCACTTGTGAACGTGTGGTTGGACTTGGGGAATAACGTGCTTTCTCGACTCTTTGTTGAGCGATCCTTCTGGAGAGGAAGCTTCTCCAAAATGCGTTGGGCTTATGAAAGCATTTTGCAGGAGCACGAGGGCACCATTGTAGATTTGGACACAGTTCGTGCCTTCCCCTGTCTTGGCTTGCTGTCCTTTTGGGGGGCTGAAAGAACCTCTGACCATAGTGCCCAAACTCATGGGAGCTAATGTCAGACTATAGCCAGACAACGGCAGGTCTCCCACCCCTAACCCGGGAGGTGGTCTTCCCAGGTTCCTTATCACGCGTGCCCTTTCGTTCTCCGCATGCTCGGCGATGTGCAGTGGCCTCCCCCCCCCCCCCACAACGCTTGGCCTGGCAGTCAGGAGGGTGAAGAAAGACCTACACAAGTTCAAAAGGACCGCTGGCTCTTTGAATTATAGGAGGAACACTTTGCAAGGCCCCTGGGAATGGAGCCAGTCGATGGAGCCAGATGAGGCGCTAATGAAAAGATGATTGAAAGGGGCTTCTGCTGTCATTCATTTGCAAGTCAAGGAGGCCGAAAGATTTAACTCTTGCCTTGGCCTTGTGACAGTGCATTTACGTGGGGGTGGGTTCATTCTCTTGTCTTCCAAGCTGGCCTTCAGATGAAGCAGGCTAGGACAATCTCTGTGTCCTTTCCTTGGGCTCCCATACCAGCAGAGGGAGAGGAGAGGAGACTCGGGGCTGTATTGAGGGAAGGGAAATTGGGCCATTCCACCAGCACTGCTGAAAGATGACTTAATTCCCCCTCCTTCTCAGTCCCCCGTTCCTTGTGTGTTATGTCCTTTCGGATTCTAAGTTGGCGGCCAGGGACTGCTCTGTGTACTCAGGAATGGGGTAAAATACTTTAAACACTTTCTTGAAACAAATAGTTTAAATAAATGATAGAATAATTTCAGTAATTGATAGAATCATGTTGTGGAGAAGCCTCTGAATATGAGGCTCAAGGCTGGAAAGCATGAAGTTGGGAAATCTGTGACTGACTCAATTGATTTCAAATTTCTAAGAATCTGTCCTGCGGATTCTGCAGCAGGCTGACTCTTTTGCTGAACTGCACCAAGCAATTCTGTGGATTTGCAGAACATCCTCTTTCCATAATTTTATGCAAATTTAGTCATAGAAAGATAGGGATCATTTTTTAAAAACCACACAATAAAAGGTGCATTTCCCCCATAGGACAGAACATAAAAATACGCGTGTTTGAGGATTTGTGTGTGTTGGGGCAATTTGCGCATGGGTGTGTGTGGATGCCTTTGCGCAAATTCTGATTCTACCGATGAGAATCGGTGACAGGAGGCCGCTTCAGGGGAGAAGGGGAATACCGAGTGCTCCACCTCATTTGTTATCCTGCCTCGCTGCATAGATGAGCCAGTGAATTTCTAACGCTCTCTCCTGGCAGGTGAAGGAGGATCCTGCTGCGCAAGGCCAGCCTGCACTGACTTCACCGACCAACGACTGGCACCTGGCCAACCCTGACAGGGAGTCCATCACCGTCACGCTGCACGGTGCCAGCAACCTGCCTTCTGCCCGGAAGGGCGACGTGCCGCATCCATATGTCGTCGTGTGAGTCCGCTTTCCGATCCTCTCCGTTTAGATGCTTCCCCAGGGCAAAGACATGGCGGTGGCCCCGGGATGGAAGGCCAGTGGTCCCTCGGCTGCCAAGGGACAGCCTGGGAAGGCCCTGCGGGTGACTGTCCTTCTGCGTACGAAAAATATGCACCTTGAAAGTACACCGCCACAGGTTCATGCCTGTGGGAGGACGCTGTGGCCATTTATCACCAACAGGGCTACCTGAGGGCCTTCCCTAGTGAGGCCTCTTGCCTTTCGTCTCCACGGTGCCGTGGTTGTAAAGGGCTGGGAGGGAGCCGAGGAGCCCGAAATCGCATCTCCCTCAGCCACGAAGCTCGCCTGGTTTCCCCAGGCTGCATCCCCCAGGTTAGCCTACCTCGCAGAGTCCCTGCGCGGATCAAAACGGGGGAGGCCCACGGGCTTCCACTGCTTTGAGTCCCACTGGAGAAAGGCAGCGCAGATGCGCATAGCTCCATTCTCACTTGCATGTGTTAGATTTGTAACTTGCTTTGCTCTTACAGTGAACTCAAAGCAGCTTACACAGTCTCTTCCTCCTCTCAGTCTTACCCTCACAACAAGGAGGTGTGTCTAGGCGGGTCTGTGATTGGCCCAGAGTCACCCAGTTGGCCCCACGGCTGAGCAGGGACTAGAACCCAGATTGCCTGAGTCCCGGTCCCATGCTCTTCACAACGACACCACCCTGGCTGCATCTGATGTTCAGGCAGGAGTGGTGCGGCCCATGTCGGGCCGTCCACAAGGTCCCAGAAGGTTTGGGAGTAACGCCAATGTTTGCAGAAGAGCAGGTGAAACAAAACAGCCCTACGGGGAGGACATTCAACAAATACTCCGGTGTGGACTGAGAATGTTCGGGGTGTGTGGAATGTAGGTTCGTCTGGGGAAGAGGTGGGATGGAGCACGGCTGGAGAAGGGAGGGGTGGAGTGCCGTGCGGGGGCTTGGCCTGACTGGAGCTCTGATCAGGCCTGTTCGACTGCCACGTGGTGTATTTCAGATCAGATTTACTGGAAATTAAAGGCGGAAAAGACAAAAAGAGAGGCTGTTGTGAGTCAGGCTATGCGCAGAATCTAAATTCCAGCGTGGACCCGTCAAGGGCGGGCTGGTGCCTCCACATGCTAAGAATTTACTCCGGGGTTATGAGGTCTTTCCTATCTGGCTGTTGCTCTCTGGGGCTAGAGGAGGCGTAATATTTCAAAGAAGGTGGAGAACAGGGCAATGCTTCCAGCATCTCAGTTTTGCACAGAATAAATAAGCAGAACCGTGCCTTGATGTGTTGGGTTTTCTTGCCTTGGGTATAACAGATGCATTCTGGGATTCAATTAAAGCCCTGCAACTCTGGTATGGCTGATTAATTGAAGGGGCACTGCTGAGTTGTTTTACGATCCGGCAGGATGCGTGTCTGAACTCGGAGGGACTCCAGGGGGTGGGTGAGCGGAACACAGAATTGCTCTCCAAAGCACCGAGAGCAGCAAGTTTGCACAGTGTCTGTGCAAACAAGCTTTGATGTTCCTTCCGCATCCTTAGACAGGGCGTTGCATTAGCGTCTCCAAATCCCAGAACTTGGAACAAGGGAGGCCGGTGCATTCCAGTATCACACCACAAAGGCATGGAATTTTCACAGAATGCACAGAAAAAATAAGCAACTTCTGTGTACATTTGGGGAAAAGACATATAAAAATGCCTTGATTGTCTTGTTAAGGATGCCCATCATCTGATAGGGACGCAAGTCAGAATGAATTTTCCATTCCAGTACCCTGGTGATCTTGGGTTTCGTTGATTCACATGTCCCTAGCTGTAATGGAAATTTATTTAATATTGCACTTCTGGCCGCTGTGTGAATGGCAACTCAGTCACCTGTGGAGTTTCCCTTCTCCGAATTTTGGGAGTAGGGCATGATACCCTCCCTGTGATGAGGCCCCCCTTGCTTTGGCTGCCTGCACAGCCGAAGGATGGGACAATTAACACAAGAAGATGGGCTAACGTAAATCTTGTTAAAAATAATGGAAGGAAAATAAGACCTGGGCTAATAGGGAGAGCAGGGTGTTTTATTGTTTCACTCGGTCACATTCAGTCCCGCGCTCTGCTTGCTTCTCTCCTCCCTGAGAAAGAGCGGATAGTGGTGGCATCAGGGTTGGACTTTGGGGCAGAAGTCCAGGCCCTCTGCTCCGCTGAAGAAGGAGGTTCCCAAATGCAGCACAACTTGGCTTGCTTTTTCTTGAACTGACATCACACACATTAACTTCTGAAGACCCCACCCATCTCCTCCAGAAGACCACCAGGTCCTTCTAAAAGGACCTGCCTCCTACGCATTCGACAATGTATAGAGGAAGGTTTGGACGACCTGGCACCTTTCCAAATCCAGATCTGTTTCTTACCCATTTTGCAGAGGCTTCCCGGCACATATAAATTAGCAGCAGTGGAGAGAGGAGAAACCTGTGGTGTTTCCATACTGGTGCTTTTCTAGCCAAAGAGCTGAAGATTTCTCCAGGGCAGGATGCGTGGAGAGGTCCAGAGCTGCGGCTCGATGATGGACAGGTCCTTATCTGCGCACATGTAGTGCTCACCCTACATGCAATCAGTCTAAAGCTTGAAGTATTTGCATGTCTGCATAATGAAAGATTGTATAACAAGCTGAAAGATGGATATTGTTTAAAGTGCTATAGCAAGCGCTGAAAAGTTGAAGTATGTTTTATTACCCAAACACTATATGGTATTTACAAATAGATGTTTGCAAAACATTTACAAATAGACAACGTGCCAAGCTGTGCTGCACAACCTCATCGGTGCAAAACACAGAAAACAAAACAAAGCCACGGTAAGAGAACAAAAGAAGGAAGAACAAAGGAACCGTTCCCTTTTAGTAGGAACCAAAGCCTAAGCAATAGTTAGCAAATTAAGAATTAATCAGGCGGTAAAAGCCAACATGTCAAATTCAGTTAGATCAAGGAAGAGGAACTTTTAGCTCTAATGGAAGGGATCTACTGGAGGAATGGTGAAGAGGTTCAGGTTATTAAGAGTCAGTGAATTTCAAGTATCCAGCGGTGTAGTGAACTTTCCCTGTATCCAAATCAGGAGAGGGCTGGGCTTTGTTGTGGCCATGCCAAGATCTTATGGCCTTCGGATTGTTAGGAAGAGCACTGGTGGAGATCATGGTCTTGCAGCTGCTTTCCCCGATCCTTCGGTAGATAAGAGCTGCTTTTGCTGTGAGAACGAAATTGTTTGCCTCACTGAAGCAGCTGCACCCCTCCACTGTCTCCAGGAATGACTCAGAGGTGGAGGAGGTCTTGGAATTCACAGCTGAAATGTCCTGGCCAATGGACCTGGAGATAAGCCAGGCTGTCACAGAGAACCAGACAGTTTCAACTTCAGTGGGAAAGCCTGAGTCCAGAGCAGTCTTGCCGGTGGCCCCCTGCAAGGGTGCGACTCCTCAGCAGTTGCCCAGCCAAGCCTACCCTTCACATCAGCCATGGGTGCTGTGGACCCTCACTTTCGGCTCCTGCTCAGCTTGGGGCAGGTACCGCAGGGGGCACTGTTGCCCTTCTGGGCCTCCTGGAGGCACCTGGTCAGGAGCTGCGGGAGGCCAGGTGTTCCAGGAGATGCGGTTTTGGTTGCACCCGACAAAGCTAATAATAGCAGTCAATCTTCATGGCACTATTCAGAGTTTGGATCTGTGACCAGATTCCATCGCAAAGCATCGTTCAGAGTCGCAGCGCAATGGCTGGCCACTGCTGACTCAGAGCGTCTGCGTTTTTCCTGGGCAGCTGTTCCCCATTTGCCGGCTCTCCTCCGTCTCTCCTCTGCAGAACATTCCCTTTATTCCATAATCAAACCCAAATGGTTCCCTCCATGGACTTTGTTACGGGATCAGAGGAGAGCGGACACATTCAGCACCAGAGAGTCCCTATGCTTGTTTTCTCTCCTCGAGATGCTCCTTTCAAGTTCTTATTCAAAGGACAGCATGCAGCCTCCTTTTCGTGCAGTGTCTGCCACCTTCCAGATGCGTCAGACTACCGCTCCCATCGCCCCCACCCAGAAATCCTTGCTGATCCCCTGCAAATCCCTAAAGCACCCCCAAGCAATAAGGAAGTGCTTTCTGCCAACTCTAGTCTAAGGCAACATTTATGAGTTGCCGATCTTTCTCCACCAGTCGACAAACACTGAATAGTGTTCCAGTTCAAGTCTGGCTTCCCATCATGCGTATTTGCTAGGTCTGTACAAAAATGTGAATTTCTTCAGGAGAACTACTCGAATCTGTGGACTGTTGTCTCCTGCATTGTGACCCACTGGACTACAGGAGGGTGGGGAAGCCGCTCAGGCCCTGGGCTGGCTCAGCCCATCCAGGCTGGTCCCTGCATCCTCCAGAGAAAGAAGGGGATCAAGGAAGGAGTCGGAGGAAGGAACCCCTGTTGCTGCAGCAGCCAAGTCCTCCAGAGCTCCGTGTGTTTCTTTTCCTTGGGTTATTCTTTGCTCCGGACATGTTGCTGGTTTCTCAGCCCCACCTTCTGATCCATCCTTTGGTCCTGACTGTCCGACTCAGGAGTAAGCAGCTTGTTCTGCTCGGTGGCCTATTGCCACTTGAAGAAACATCAGCTGCGGGGAGGCGAGCCATCGCATGGGATACGTGTGATTTCCCTCCCTCCCCTCTGCATCCATCGTTTATCGTTTCTGTTGACGGTGGCGCATCTGTCTGAAGCCATGCTGAAAGCACCGCTGAATCACAGGAAATGCCTGAGTCTGGAGGCAGTGGCTTTCCCAACCCTGGACTTGCCCGGAGGCAGAGCTGACATTCAAAGCAGCGAGAGAGAAGCAACATGTGAGATTAAAGCAGATGCTGCTTAGAGCTGCCTGCCTCCCACCTCTGCCGGAGTCCAGCACTGAGAAAGAGGAGGTCATTTCCCACACTCCGAGTTTCTAAATCAAAGTGAGACAAAATGGCTATAATTTCATCTATTGTTTGCCATGGACTTAACAGACACTG